TACACCTGTTTATTGCGTAGGAATGCAATATATTTCAATGCATGCATTACAACGTTGATATTTTCCTTAGGACCAGAGAGAATACAATATTGTTTTGTAGCTAAAACACCTTCATTTACTTTACTGCCTTTCAAGTCCTCAGAAATCTACTAATTTACACTAAACGTGTGGAACCACGATTTCTGTGAGCCCGGAGTGGCGTTCTTCGTTCGACCTATTATTCCTTAACCATGCATTTGCACCCGCGCTGGTGCTCTGTGAGTTCCTGTCGGTTTTCAGGAAACTTCAGTTTCTCAAAATTTCGACACATTTCAATTGAAACTTATAATAGCTATGCGACTACAGATTAGGGGTCAAAATCGAAGTAATAGCCGAAGAAATGATTCTCCAGTTTCTAGCAGTTTCCATATAACCTAATAGAAAATCATGAACAGGATCTAGTTCAGTTGAATTGAATACCTGAATCTGCCTTTGAAGGAATTTGACATACTCTACTGCTTCTTCTAACATATCTGCAGTGTTCGTCTGCTGCAAGACCAAAACAAAAAATCAATACATAAATTTACCAAACAAAATATACACGTCATCGTTTCACGTTCTAAGTTAATCAATATTGAACAATAAACTTTTAAATTAGTTATAAGTGGACAAGATTTTTTAATCTCCCTTTGACATAAGACCTTTGGAGTAAAATTCAAAAGAAAAACCATGTAGCTTTAATTTCAAACGTACTATGGAAATTTTAGTGGTCTTACCATGAGAAATTTAAATATTCAAAAGCCCAAATCTCAAAATCAACCATCTAGATAAGGCAAGTCACCAAAATGCATTAAAGTTCTTTCCATGCTTGACCAATAGTTATGAATGGTAGCGCGTAAAACAGTCAATAAATTTGAAAGTTGTCTTTTTTCACCAAATTAAAAAAGAAAAAAAATAGCAACCACCTGAAGGTAAAAAATTGACGGGAAAGGAATGACACAAAAGTTAAAGACAATGAGAGCTGTTCGGATGTCAACCGACAAGGTCAAACAACTATGCTATGCACAGGCCAGCTTGCATGCATCTCGACTAATCACGAGCCAACTGCCTGACCCTACTACATTTGGTTGACAAGGTAACTCGTAGGATATTAAATCCTAGGTAGGTGGCCACTATGATTTGAACCCAATCCCTCTAAACCCTTTGCTATTTACATTGGCCTTTATTGACCATTAGGTCATCCCATGATAGTTTATTACATCCATAAATCCATACATATATTTATGTATATAGACAAACGCATACATCGATGTTCAAATACTCTCTCAACCGAAGAAATAATCCTAATCTCACCCTTACACATCTGATATAAGTTGCTTTCCTAGTCAACCTAATCTTCATGGACTATTGGGCATAAAGGATGTAACTGAAGGTCTAAATACATATGTTTAGTATTAATGAGCTCCATCAACCTTGAAAACTAGTTCAATAGATGTTATAATTTCTTTTCATATTAATAGACTGACATTCCCTTGCACAATCCACAATCAATACACGAAAATACCTCAAATGAAATAAATTATAACATATATGTCATGTCCATTTAATTGTAACTTCGGTAAAATACAGGAAACTTTACCCGTGCAACAATTTGTAAGATAGCTTTGTTGCCCACCGGATGAAAAGTGCACTAATCATTCTTCTGATTGATTAACAGAAACTATTACAAACTGGTATGAATAAATAAATCACTCATAATCTAATAGTTTAATGTCATTTGATATTAGTACAGTATAGATTAAAAACAATACAGATGAAACTTGAAAGAGATCGACCTTTAAGTTCAAACCACACAATCTTGTCTCCATTACTCAACTAATTGTCTAATGTTAGACTTAGATTTCATTAATAATCATGCATAAAGTTAAATTCAAGTCAAACTGGAAGTTTAGAATGGAATTCATGGTAGAACGGCAAGAATAAGCACATGGCAGGACAAGTACATAGTCATTTCTTAATATATGCGCACGCGCACACAGCTGATAACATATAAGATAGATCTAAATTCATTTGTACTCCTATGATCAATCATGGTATAGTTACCTTATCCATGTTGGGCACAACCTCCTGAAGCTTCCTTATTCTGTCACTAATTTTAGTCCTGCGAACCTACCCACGGAAACAACGAAATTAATAATTAATGGACATCTCTTTTTGTTGTGTGTGTTAAAATGACATACGGATTGAATAAGGACGCGTGGCAACATGTTACACAAGGAAGCAAACTAGCTTGATAAAACAAGAACAGAGAAAATGGGCAAAATACATTTTAAATCAAACTTTTAGACACAAGCATCAAAGTTCAAAGGATGAAACGTCCCCAATGAACCAATCTGCAACTGCTGGTGCTATGTTAAAATCCACATGATGGGTTTACTTGGATGAAGTTGAAAGAAGATTCAGGCGAAAGATGAGAAACTAACCCTCTCAGCAATGCTCCGAGGATGCGTAGCACAGCCGCGCTTGGCCCGAACACGGCAGGGGACAGAGTCCTCCAATAGCTTCTCCATTTCCATGTCTAACAAACTGGAAACCCCACTTTCCTCCCTTTTCTGCCCAAAATTTCACTTACAAAATCAAACTATTATTCACTATCCCACATACTTGACTACTCAACTTAACTCTGCTCTACTCTCAAATCAAATCAAATCAAATCAAATCAGATAATTTCTACTCCTGATTTCGAATCGCGAAACAGAGCTTAAAGAGATTACCAGCTGAGACGAAAATTTGGAGTGGAAATTTTGGGCCTCCACCTCTCTCCCGCGCTTGGACGTGGGAGAGATGTCGAGACCCGGGGAGGGCAATTCGTACTTAGCGGAAGTAACACCATAGGCAGAGTAGAAACCCTCGCCGAGAAACTCGGCCGGAGAACTATTCTGGCGGGCGAAGGCGGGCGAGGGATTGGGATTGGGATTGGCGTCGAAAAGGCCTTGATCCGGCGGGGAACCGAGGGCCGGGGAGTTGCCGGCGAGAAGCTGAGTCAAGCACTGATTGGGCTTCAGAGGGTCTTCCTCGTCGTCCTCTAGAAGCGCTTCCAACCAGGTGGCCGGAGCTGAGCGGAAGCGAGCGAGTCCGCTAGCACGGGGCCCGAGGTCGCCGCCGCCGCTGCTGGTAGTACCGCCACCAGTTGTGGATTGCATCTGCTTCCCACTGACTGGTTCAGGAGATTTCTGATGGCTTTCCTGTTCTTTTTTATGGTTTTCTTTTTCTGGGTTATTTGGTTGCTGAAAGGAAAAACTTGCGTGGGTTGGGTTCTATTTTTGTTGGGGAAGAATTCAGAATTCTATCTATGTTTGGAAAGGGTCACAGCAAAGGGACCAGATTGTTCCTCTTCTCTTTTTTTATTTTGTTTTGTGTTTTTCCCTGAGCCTGAGCCTGAGCCTGAGCCTGAGCCTGATCCAGTGCGGGTGCGGTGTACGGTAATACCCAATTTCTGAATTATACGAACCATCTGATCTGTTGGTTACGGCCGGAGACGGAGATGAACGCTGATTCAGACTCGGTGACGTGTTACCGGGAACTCCGTGTTTAAATAATAATATTAATAATAAAGTAACCTCATGGATTTCATCAAATCGCCTTGATTCAATAAATACTTTCCCTACGCGAATCTCATGGCGCGTACGCTCCAACACCTTTTTTTTTAACTTAATAATATTTTCGTTTTTGAAAGAGAAAACACAATTAGAGATGAGATCAATATCCTACTTTTTTTTCTTTAATCTCTATCAATACTTTTCTTCTTGGTCATTTAACTTTTCAAAAAAAAAAAAAAATTTGGCTTCTTTTCGGTCAACTATTTAATAATCTGATAAAAAGTTAAAAAAATTCTCTATTTCGTCTTTCTGTTCTCTTTTTTCTTGACATAGTTATCTCATCATCTTGTTCGTCTTTGCTATCAATTATCATGACTAACAACTCAATTAAAGTTTAGAACATAATCGAAGCTATTTCTAAAAGGTCAATATCAAAAAATGTATTTACCTTTTCAAATGTTATTTTGTTCATGAATTTTTGTACTTTGATATTTAAAAAAAAAATCGTGTTGAATTAGCAACTTTATTGTCTAAGAGGTAAATAAATTCCCATATTAAATTAATTAAATTTGATTGTCTAATCTTTTAAGTTATATTTATATAAACTTATCGCTCGTAGGCTCCATAGATTCATTAAAAAATTGATATAGACCTTCAACAACTACTATCTACACATTATTTAATTCTATTAAGGTCAATCTTTTAATATTGGTTTATTTATAGCTATAATTAATTAAAAACTTATAAGAAAAGAGTAAAATTTAATGTCATGGTTACATAGATGGAGTTTGTTTCAAGTTTAGAATTAAACTCTAATCAATAGTAATTATTAATGAATTATAATAAATGAAAAGTATCTTATTTGTAGTTGTAGAATGAAAAAAGAAGAATATATGAAAATGAAGTTCGAAGAAAAAGAAAAAAAAGAGAAATTGAATGGGGCCGGGGAAGGGCGCGTGGAGGGAAAAGGGTTTGTGGTTAAAGAAAGTTTAATATGTAAATATGTTTAAGTTTGTTTTGTTGGTATTATTTGGGGTAAAATTAAGGAACGCCCATCCCCATCCCCATCCCCATCCCCATCCACACTTTCATGTTTCATAACTAACTTTTTCTTTGCTTTCATTTTCTTTTCTTTTTTTAGCGTTGTCCTTCCAAACACATTTGTTTTCTAATGGCTCGTTGGTAAGTTTTCATTTCTATTTTCTCTTTTTTTTTTATAAAGAAATATAGAATCACATGACTCCAACACCTATCAATTCAATAATGATAAAATAATCTTTATTTATGTTTTAGAACAAATAAGAAACGGGAACAAAAAAACAAGAAACTTATTTTGTTGTTTCTAAAATTCTATACAATTTTGAGAACGTTTCTAAAAAAGAGAAATAAAAAAATAAATAGTTGTCAAATGTTTAGGTTTCTTAGTAAAATTGAGAACGTTATTATAATATCATATATGTCCATTGTATCTAAAATCCATGTATCTCATTGCCTCCTATTGCCCATGTGTTTACTGTTTATTGCCCAAAATATCCTCAGCGTCTGTTGATGCAAAAATCTGCCAAGTCACGGAGGACGATCTGAGAGGTCAACACTTGGAGTATTCTTTAGAGATACCTGCAAAATAGGTAGGCCACTCCGACGTCCAAGTCAATAATAATCCGAGCTCAACAGATCAGCGTCAGACAGTTTTTCATACCTTAAGTGGGTGGAGTGGAGGTGTATTTATACGGATTTGAGAAGTAATTACCCATCCCATCGAGGTATTTCACTGCTCTGGGTCAGGTCACCTGCTATGGACCGTTGGTCCGTGTTGGTCTCTGGATTTATCCTTGCCTTGGAGCATAATACTTAGAAGGTTCTCATCCGCGTCTAAGTAACTGGGGTTGACCTCTAATCCTTCGAGAACAGCTCGACCTAGGACAGCTTGCCCTCCAATATGGAATCGTCGATGAATTTGCATGACGTCAAAGCTTGTCCCTTAGGAGCTCGGCCGTGGATGAGCTTAAGAGCTCTTCCTATATGAGCTTATGAGCTCGACTGTAGATGAGCTGATGAGGTCGGCCGTAGATGATCTAGCCACGTGATAGGTCATATTTTTGCCCCCAACAGCGTCTAATTAGATATGTTGCGCAAAAGCATCTATAAATAAAGGCCTTTATGGTTCATGATGTGGAGAGGATGAAAGAAAATTGAGACACAGAAAATCAAAGGAAAACAACATCCACTTTTATATTTTATCCGATTTTATAATCTCTTGTTCTTGCCTTGGTTTATTTCTCAATTTCACGGCACTTTTTCATTTTTGTTTATTCATACTTTTGAAAATTTAGCTAAATTTGTAAAACTATCTTTGTTATCTTTGAAATTGGACAACTTGTCTTGACAAAATTTAGAAATAAAAGTGGTTAACTAAAATAAGAAACTACTTAGTTTGAGAGTTTAGGGACACAAGTGCATGCATATCAATTGAGGAAGTTTCATGGTGTTCCTCTATGTTGACACACCTCGCTCTCGCTCTCGCTCTGAGATGAAGCAATATTTTTGGAGTCAATGCAACAAGATTTTCCAAGAAGCGTCGGAAAAACAGCAAACCAACTGGAAAAGCTGCTCTTGACGACTAAAAATTATCATCGCTGAAAGCGTCGACATAGGAAAAATAAATAGCAGAAAAACTTGGAGCAAAATCAATCGATAATATGTAGAAACTCACTTGAAAGAAACGAGAGGTGGTTCGCAGGAAAGCCTGTCAGATAAATAAACAAAGAGCTTAGACTCTAAAGTTCATGAAACTCAATCTGACAATAAGAAAACAAATTAGATAAAAAAACATAAAAAAGGGGGATTGAGAGGGGGAGAGTGTTAAAAGAAAGAATTAAGGAAGGAGTTTAATGGGCCTAAGTACAAAAAGCCGCAAGCTTTTATTTTTATTAATTTGTGTGCCACCTCTTCATTTTTAGTGTGCCCTTCTGTTTCATCGTGATAAAAGGGTTTCGTGAGATTTTCTTCCACACGGAGGGAGGTCATTTTCGAGAGAGACATTCTGTGAGCTTTACCGAGAGCTCTGTGAGGAATTTTTGTGAGGAATATTGAAGAATTTTAGAAGTTCGTCAGAGTGATTCGTAAGCATTTTTCTTTGAGAGAAAAGTGAGAGGAATAGAGGTTTTGTGAACTCTTGAAGATTCTCCTAGCATTTAGTAGAACCTGCAACGAACTAGACGTAGTCTATATTGGATGAACCAGTATAAATCCGATAATTTCTCTTCTCTATATTTTATTGTTCTTGTTGCTTGAGGTTTAAGTTGGTTTATCTACTCTTTGAGCATAGTTCCGATTTGATTTAATTATGTTATAATTGGAACCAAAACCTGATTTGGGATTAGTTAGCATATATAGTCTGAAAATATGATTGAAATAATATTTGTTAGCTTGTGTTTTATCCCTAACAGAGTGAACAAGAGTACGAGTGTGGGAGAGAAGACCGAGAGCTAGTGATGAGATGGGAGGAATCGAAAGTGAGATGAGAGAGTTTAAAAACAAATGAAACGACCTCAGAAAAGTTATATCCTAATCTTACGAAATATATATTTTGCATTGGAAAAGCAAACTTTTCTGAATTGATAGCGTCTGGTCAAAGTTAAGGCTAAGGCTATTAAGAATTGGTGCATAGATGCAAGTGAATTAATAAGCTTTCATGATCTTGGGGCTCTTATGCAACATTCTTAACAAGTCTAAGCACAGTTGCTGCGCAAGAAGAATGTTAGTTTAAATTTTATTTGTCTTCCCACTCTCAAAATTTCCATTTTAGCCCTAATCTTTTAGATTTGTTCAATAAAAAATATTTATTTTAGTTTCTGAACTTTAGAAAAATATAATCATTTTAGCCCTTACATTTATTTCATCTTTTAACAACTTGATACTGTGGCTTCATGTATGTGTATATCAATATATTAACGTGAGCATGTATTCGAACAAAATTGTACTAAGAGACCAATATAATATACTAAGGACCAAAAAATTACTTTTTTTAAGTTCGGGGACTAAAATAGATATATTTTGAAAGTTTAAAGACAAAATAGTTATTTTTAAAAAATGGCTAAAATACGAGAAAACTCCATTCAATTTTCGATGGAATTGGAGTTTTGAGAATATATAGAGAAGAAAATAGACATTTTGGGAGTTGGTCAAGGACTCTAAATTAGTAGAACAAATAAAAAATTTAGGGATTAAAATGAGATTTAAACTAAGAATGTTTTATTTGTATAGGCCTACGGCTCACGAGCATGCATCTAATGACTTGAAAGATAAATTGTGTAGCTCATCTACTAGCTTTACCTAACTTTATTTGACATTTGAGATCGAAGGTGATACGAGTGGAGTAGTGATTGATGTGTTCCTAACTTCATTACTAAAGAGTTGGAATGGTGCTTCCTTGGACTTACTACCACAATTATTCTGTAGACGATTTTGAAAAAATGTCACAAAATGTTTTTTTATGTCACTATATCGTCTATAATCAAGAAAACAATAAATACCACGATCGACAATGAGCCATCATTAATATAAGTTAACTATGACAATTAAAAGTTGTCACAGAAAAAGACTTCAATAACAATTACTAGCGTCATAAGCTCTCTTGATGACCGTTGAAAAGTGTCAAGAAAAAAAATCCATTCTTACAAATATATTAATGATAGTTTAGTAATAGTTTAATTGTTAAGAAAATGTCGTTGATAATGACAATATTTACCATTAAGAATATGTTAATGTATGATAATTTTTTTTATCACAATTGTGTTGAATTGGAGTTTCTAATCATCATATGATGATGGTTTTGAACGTCAGAAAAAGTCTCACGACTTTACTTTTGGTTTCACTCAAAATGCCTCATACCAATGAAGATAATTGTCCTATCTTATATACTTATGATCATTTCCTTTCCTAGCCAATGTGAGACTTTGTTTGCAATTATCCTACAAACCTAACAACATTCCTAAATTAAGCAAAATCAAATTTATACATTACATCAATTTTTACACAAAATAGAATTAAAATGGGAGAATATAGCATAAGTTTTAACTCCTAACTCACAAAAGCTTCTTGTTACAAGTCAATTAGTTGTAATCAAGCTTCTTGTCTTTAGTTTTTGCAAGACCTATGTAAGAAAACAATATCAATTATCAAATATAAGTCACAAAAACATTTTTTATGGTTTTTTTTTTCTGTTTAATTTTCTTTACTAAAGTTAGGCGTAGATGAGCTCACAAGACTCTCTCAACCCATATTGGTTGTTCTTCAATCCAAATTCTTGAATTTTGTTGTCTCGTTGTATGAATTAGCGTTTACGACTCCACTTTACTTACGTCCTATGAAAATGAGATTCCCTCGATTGCCCTATTCCTACATCTTTCTCTGATATCATCTCTATTATCAACTGTACTTTATTATCAAAAGCATCGTCCCAAATTGATTAGATTCTACGCCCTTTGGAATTCGTTTCAGCCTAGAGAAGTCGGATTCTAGCTTCAACTGCTACCATTATCCCCTCCATATAAATTCATTGTCTTTGTAAGCTCAATTGAACCTCTAAATTGCATAAATTTTGAAGCAGCCAATCATCATGGATGATCATTCCAAAACCGGCCCTTCCATCATCTGTATTTAGCTTGAAGTTCGGTGGGTCTGGATGTATATGTATCCACTTCTCTACTCTTTCCCTTGTGTTCTGTTGTTCATCTGATCGCTTTGTGATCGGCTACTTTCCAACAATCTGCATAAACTTGGCGCTTATGCAATGAGATCTTCTGTCAGATGCTTGGCTTAGACTTCTAGCTCAAGATGGATGCATGAGAGTTCTATGCATAGGTGAGAGCTTTATAAACTTCACAACATTATTCTTGAATCTTTGTGTAAATTGGACATCGTGTTGATGATTGGCATGGTGTTTGGGAAGCCATGCACACCTGAATGTAATAAAAAAGGCAAACATATACTAATTCTCCTTTCTTTCTAATTTGTTTTAAGGCCAAAGTTAGACAAAAAATACTCTTGAGGAAAATTTTTATTTGATGCACACACTAAACTGTTGATCTTCCTGCGCTGTATTTATATAAATAGGAGTTAGCAAAATACAAATATGCAACTAATCCTACCTCTCCAAGGCCAGCGAGAAGCCAGTAAAAGTAATCAAGATGCGCCCTGTTCATATTGTTATCAAGCCAGCCATCTCTTCCATACCCAACGGTTGCATCTTCAACGACGCACACGAGAACGCCGCTTAGTAAGCTCCCGACCCCGAAGATGCTGAGATTCAGTGCAAGTCCCAGGCTCTTCAGCTCGCTCGGAACTTGATCGTAGAAGAATTCCTGCAGACCCACCATCGTAAAAACGGTTGAAACTCCGAGCAAGGTGAATTGAGGAATCAGCCACCACACGCTGATCGGGATCGTTGCGTTAGGGTTGTCGGTCAAGCCGTGTTCTCTAGCAATCGACAGCCTTTTAGCTTCGACCAGAGCGCCAACCACCATTGAAATAGTGGATATGAACATCCCAACTCCAATTCTTTGCAGCATTGTGATCCCAGAGGGTTTGAGGGTGAATGTTCTTGCTATTGGAACCACAACTCGGTCGTAGATGGGGACGAAGAGCACGATGCCTAGGCAGGCGAAGCATTGGATCGAAGCAGCGGGGATTTTGAAGCTCGGTGTGATCGATCGGTCCATAGTGTAGCCTTGCTTGACGAAGAAAGTAGAGCATTGTGATAAAACAACGGCATATGTCAAGCTTGCTACCCAAATGGGAATGAGCCTTAGGACGGCCTTCGCCTCCTCGACCTCGGATACGCTACATGTCGTTCCACCTTTATCGGAGCCGACTGGAGCAACCAAAGCCTTGTTGAGGAAGCTGCAGAGTTAAAGATGGAGTGAGTGAGTGATATTAAATCAGAGGAACTTAACAATCTTCAGAAACAGAATGCTTAACTGTCCAGATTTTTGATAAAGCATTGCATCTTGATCACCTAATTCCTCCAAAACAACAATGTTCAAATTAGGCGTCGTCCTCCAATTTCGAGCGGCATTGACAAAAACCCGACCAATTCTGACGAATGGTTTGTCCCCGTGGTCGGGGACGGTGATGGTGACGCAACGATAAGTTGGAGTCCCGAGCAAGAAAATGAGGAGAGCAAGTAGTGAGGAGATGCAGGGAATGCCGAAGGCGAGACCCCAACCGAGGTTATCTTGAATGTAGCTTAAAATGAAAAGTGCAGTGAAGGAGCCAAGAGTGGTAGCAAAGTACCACCAGTTGAAGAAAGAGCATTTGGCTCTGCATTCTAGATCAGGATCTTCCCCATCAAATTGATCACACCCAAATGCCTGAACACAAGGCTTGTGTCCTCCTTGTGCAAATGCCACCAAGTACAGAGAGATGAAGAACATCACATCCATGAGAGTCCGAGACGAAGCTCGGGTGCCCGACTCGTCGTTGAAACCGCTGCCTGAAGCAACCACAGCTGAGAGTGTGAGTAGGCTGAGCCCCTGCAGTTGATCACTCCATTCAACAATTCTCTTCGGGACAGTATTTTGCAGTACTTGTCTCTAAACTCTAAACTACCAAAATTATCTTTTATAAATAAAAACAAATGACACCCATTTGATATCGTGAAAAATACTTTGGTCCTAACAACCTATCTTACGAAAAATATTTGACAAAGTAAGAGAGTGAGAAAAAGAAAAACAGAGAACTCTTTGAAAAAATATGAACTATCAATTTTTTTTACTGATTTCTTTTTTGTTGGTGATCTAAGTATTGTATTTTGCTTTCGGATTTGTATGACATAAATTCCCCTCCAACTTTTGTATTTATTTAGTAACTAACAAGTGCATCACAATTACAATGAGGAGAGCAAATCATAAAAATAAATGTACAGGGAACCAATTTCAAACTTTGAAGACCACATAACCCAAATTAGGTGAAATTGAAATTAAATTCATAACTGGACCTAGTAATAAGTCTAGAAACTGAGAATGGAAAGTTGAAGAGTCATTAGAAAGTTTTTAAAGTGGTAGGAGGTAAATAAATGAAGAGACCAAATAAATTAATATATATTGAAAAAGAGCATTATATTTAATATCTATATACCAGGACGTAAAGAGCGGAGGCGAGGAGAATTGTAAGGTAGCGTCCGAGGTAGGAATCGGCCAAAGAAGCGCCGAGGAGAGGGAGCAAGGAGGCGGTTCCGGTCCAGATGTTGACATTCCGGGCGGCGGCGGCCATGGACTGCCCCATCTCTCCGGTCAAGTACGTAATGAGATTGGTGTTTATCCCGTAGAAAGCGAAGAGCTCGGCAATTTCGACGGCGATTATGAAGGCGGCGGATGTCCACCGAGATCGGAGCCGGGGGGCGGCGTCGTTTAAGATGAGCGGAGTGGCGGCGTCGGAGTGGGAGGCGAAGGCCATATCGGGCGTGGATTGGATTTGATTATTGAAGAATATAATGTTAATAAGAAAAGAAAAAAGGAAGCAGAGAATCCGGAGGGAGTGACAGATGGGTGCAGGCCTTGTCACCACTTCCTACCATACGCTTATACTTGTCTTTCTGCATGTCTCCTTTGGAAATTCAACCATTTTTTTCTTTTTCTTTTCCTCTTATTTCCCAATGTTTACCCTCAAATTTGCATCACTTCACTCTCATCACATTCCTCTGCTCTTCTTCTTCTTCTTCTTCTTCTTTTCTTTTTTTAAGAAAATAAATGTAAAGAACTCTTCTTCCCACGTTAATTTTTGGAGTTAAGTTACAAATTTAGCCAATAAATTTTGATATTGTCAGTGCACCAACCTGGACTCATATTACAAGACAACTATTTAGTTGTCAAGAAAATACAAAGATATTATGTTTTAGGTAAGTGGTTAATCTGGTTTGAACCAGTCAATTTCTTTTAATTTTTTAGAATTTATATATCAATTTAATCGCTAGACTTGTAGTTTAATTATATCGTTTAAATTTGTAATTTTGATTTTATTTAAGTTTATGCCATTAATATTGTTAGTTAAAATTAGCTTATGTGAGAGTATATTGATTAAGACTAACCAATGATAATTTAATATAACATAGACATGTATGTGTACCATAAAAGAAGTTCGCTAGCAAGATAACTAGACTGGAAAAAAGGGGAAAAAAGGAGATATTCTGACCAATGACAATTCATGCACTCCCCCCGCCCCCCACTAATCATTGGCATCTCATGGATTGCTACTCACTAAACCAGCAAACATAATCCTACGAGCTTATTTAGATGAAAATCTACCTCAGGTTTTTGCATATATTTTGGAAATACCATATTGCATTGGGTTCGTAAAAGCAAGCAATAATTTCAAGATCTACTACAGTATTCTAATACTGT